GTGTCTTGTGCTATCACTCACCACCTTATTCTTTGATACAGGGTCTCTCATTGAACCTTAAGCTCATCAATTCAGGTAGACTAGGTGGACAAAGAGTTCCAGGTATCTCTCCTATCTCTGCCTCCCAGTGCCCAGTTAAGATGCATGCTGCCACCCCAGCTTCTTAGATAGGTGCTGGCAATCAGAACTCAGGTCCTCATGCTTGTACAGTGAGCACTTCACTGGCTGAACCATGTCCCCACACTGCTCTCCTTTTTAAAAATCTGAAGCAAAAGAAAAGCTTGTTGGGTTGAGAATGCAGCTCAGTGGTAGAGTGCTTGTCTAGCATATGTGAGCCCTGAGTTCCATACACACACACACACACACACACACACACACACCACAAATAAATGTAATTAAATTTTAAACTAATATATTGTGGTGAGACAAGAGCACATAGCATGGACAGCAATTAATAACAATTATTACTGCTCATAACGTGGGATCATTATTAGAAAGTACCCTGAACAACTGCTAAAAGAAATAATACAAAGCATAGCTAAAGTCGGAACAGGAAATCAAATCAAATATGGACATGTGGAACTCACCCTCCTTGTGTCGCAAGCTCAAGCAGGAGGCATGTAACCAGCAGTACTGCACAACAGTTATGTGGAATGTTAATGGGCGAGTGCCTTGATTAAGTTTCAGAGATTGCTGGACTGGATATGAAGAGGAGTCACACACTGTTAGTGTGAAGACATAGACAGGCTGAAAGTATCTGAGGCATAGAGTGGACTTTAAGACAAAGAATGTGACTAGTTTTTCATAATAAAAGTGCTGTGACGCCAGCATTTGGGAATGTGAGGCAGGAGGAGTGTTGTCTGAGGCCATCCTGAGCTACATAGTAAGCTCCAGGTCAACCTAGGTTACAGAGTGAGACCCTGTTTCAAGAAACAAAAGCAGACCAGTGGTGGTGGTACAGTTCTCAGGAGGCAGAGGCAGGTGCATCTCTGGGAGTTCGAGGACAGCCCGGTCTACAGAGTGAGTTCCAAGGACATCCAGGGCTGTTATACAGAGAAACCTTGTCTCAAAAAAGAAAAGAGGGAGGGAGGGAGGGAGGAGGAAGGGAGGAAGGAGAAGAGAGGGAGGGAGAGAAAGAGAAACAGAAGCAAAGAGCAACAAAAAGACAAAAGGATGTGTGCCTGCAACTCACACTAGGTCTTCAAAATACTTTGAAAAGTTACAAGCAATGAAGGGAGGAATAGCTGAACCCACAGGTATAGACGGGTTTAGAACACCCTGCTTTCAATGACTGATAGGAAAAATATTAACAAAGACAGAGAGAATTTGCGCAGGATCAACTCAGTTTAACTACTGCCCAGTCACAGAAAAATCTATGGCTAGAAACAGACCTGAGTGCCTGCTAGCTCACATGCCAGGCAGTGATGGGAGCTCTGTTAGTATCAAAGGACAGAAAGGATAAAAAATCAATCAAATGTTAGTTAACAAAGAAAAATCTCCAACTAGAATTTTGATCAGAAGGGTTTCTGTCTATGTTCTCTGCTCTCTGTGTGATAAAAATAAAAAAATCAATATTTTGCACAAAACAATGGTTTTTCAGATCCTAAGCACTTGGATATTGAAAAATAATCTCCTAGTCAAGCCTAGTGGCACATACCTATAACTCCAGAACTTGGGAGGTGGAGGAGAAGGGTTAGAATTGAAGGCCAGCATCAGTTACAAAATGAGTTGGAGACCAAACTAGCCTATGTTAGATCCTGTCTCAAAAAGCAAAACAAACAAACAAAAAAAACCCTTCCAAATCCCTATAGTTAAAGAAGAAAGTAGGCATGTGTGGTGTTTCTTTTTAAAGGAGAGCATTATTAGAGAGAGGTGGGAGGGAGAACGCCATACCCTCAAATGTTATTATTATTTAACACAAAAAGGCACTCAGGAGACTGAACATGAAGACCTCAATGTCACTCAGGCTTCAAGGAGAGGTGTTGCCCCACACCCCAATAAAGAAAGGAGAGAGGGAGAGGGAAGGAGGAAGAATGAATTGAACAAAACACTTAAAATTGGTTATGGGGCTAGAGAGCTAGCTCCGTGGTTAAGAGCACTTGCTGCTTTTTCAGAGGACTCGGGTTTGGTTCCCAGCACCCATATCAGACAGCTCAAAATGCTTGCAATTCCAGATCCAAGGGATCTGATGCTCTCTGTGTCCTTGGGCTCTATCTTACTTAGGGATTCTATCGCTGTGATAAAACAGCATTACCAAAAGCAACCTGGGGAAGAAAGGGTTTATTTTACTTTACATGTCCTGCGCAGTCAATCATGAAGGGAAGTCAGGGCAGGAACTAAGGCAGAAGCCACAGAGGACTTCTGCTGGTTTGCTCCTTGTGGCTTGTTCTGTTTGCTTTTTCACATTACCCAGACCCAAGAGCCAAGGTGTGGCACCACCCAACATGGGATGGGACCTCCTGCATCAATCACTAATCAAGAAAATGCCCTTCAGTCTTGCCTATAGTAAATCTGATGGAGGGTTTTTCTCAGTTGGGGTTACTATTCCCAGCTTGTATCAAGTTGACAAAAACCAACCAGGACAGGCACCTGAATGTGTGCACGCATACGAACGCTCGTACGTACACACACACAAACACACACACACACACACACACACACACACACACACACACACACACACAAACCCTTTAAAATAACCAGTCATGGCACATACTTCTAATCCCAGAACTCAGTAATAACAGGCAGGCAGTGTTTGAGGCCAGCCTGCTCTATATAGTGAGTTCCAGGCCAGCTGGGGCTACATATTGAGAACCTGTCTCAACAAACAGACAAATCCTTGGTTGTAGGACAAGAAACAGAATTATAACCATTTGGATATACAGCAAAGAAAACAAAAAAAGGAATGAGAAATGAGGAAATGGTAAACATCAGGGGCAAAGGGATAAGAGTAATTTAAGTCGTGTGTAATTTTATGGTGCTATATTAGGAATTCTCTATGAAGAAGACTTTTCCCAGTCAACAAAACAAGACATGGGACTCTGGAAAACAACAGACTTAAGAAAGATATGCATGTGTCACCTTCCAAACACCTACCCATTGTCAAGAACTGATTGGAGCTTTCCTGGAAATTGTCAAAAAGGGATAATCTATGCTACATAAACTTTTTCAGACAAAAAATATATGCTAGATGTGGTAGTGTATACCTATAACCCTAGCACCTATAGTCCTAGCACTTAGAAGGCTGAGGCAGGGGAATCACCAGTTCAAGTTCAGAAGGAGAGAGGAAGAATAGGAGGGAGGAAGAAAGGAAATAAGGATGAGGAGAAGGAAACACAGGTGATGTAAGAAAGATGTTTAAATGGTGTGGTTAAGTGGTGTGGTGGGTTGAGTAAGAATGGCCCCCATAGGGTTCATATATTTAAATGCTTAGTCACCAGAGAGTGGCAATATTTGAGAAGGATTAGGAGGTGTGGTCTTGTTGAAGGAAACTGTGTCACTGGGCACGTGGTCTTGGAGGTTTCAAAGGCCTAGCATAACTCTCTCTCTCTCTCTCTCTCTCTCTCTCTCTCTCTCTCTCTCTCTCTCTTTCTTTCTCTGCGTGTGTGTGTGTGTGTGTGTGTGTGTGTGTGTGTGTGTGTAGAATGTAATTGGAGTTACCCTACATGGGCAATAACAACACTCCCAGAAGACATAAGCTGCCAAATAAACAGCCCAATGCCAGGCTTGGGTTACCTCCCATTGAGTTATTAGTCAGAGGTGTCCCAGAGATCCCCCAAAGCAATACAGGCTATTGCCATTCCTCTTTGTTGCTCACCAGACTTGATGGTAAGAAAACATTGTTGAAGACACTACACACATTGGCCACGGAATATAAAGAAATCAAGTTAGTACTGACCAGGAAGCTTCTTTACTGCTGGTTAACTGCCATGGTACTGGTTGGCAGTACATAGACTGCTGGGAAGAAAGTTATCAACAGTGTGAACTGGGTGAGTGAGCTACAGTAATGAATAACATGGCAAGATGTACCTGTGGGTGCAGCAGTGGCACAAACATTATGAGATAACCAACCATTTCCTGATTAGAATTAAGGCCAGCTCCACGGAGGGAAGGCATGAATGATGCTGCAATTCTGGGGAGCTCATAGGCCCTAGGGATGAATCTACTACTATTACTTTGCTAAACAGACATATTAGCAAACTATCCTCTAAATTTGCATCTCTCTATCAGTAGATTAGTGCAGCTGTCAGACCTCATCTGAAAAGTTTATGCAGTGGATGATAGCTAATACATGAACTCACAACTGCTCAAAGTGCAGAGAATAAGCACCAGTAGAATTCAACCAGGCATCTCTATTACACTCCCCAGGACTCAAGAGACCATCAAAGAAGAGGAGGAAGAAATGGTATAACAGTCAGAGGTCAGGGAAAACAAGAGTTTTCTGGATATAACAAAACTGCTATACTCATGAGTTCACAGCAGCTATGGCTGTCTGCACAAGAAAAAGCCTGTTAACATTCCAATATGAAGGGAGAAGCTTCCGTAACTGGGGAGCTTTTGACAGATGATATCCTCTGGGAGAGGGAGAGGCAGACCGGTAAAACTGTGGCTCCTGGCAGGTTGACCATGCTCCAGTAGATGGTCCCACACACATGAGTATATTGGAGTCCAAGTCAGACTCAATGGGGCATTGAGAAAAGAAAGGACACAAAGTGTACACAAAGTTGGGAAGCAGGAGAATAGGGAGTGGATCCATGAGGAGTTGTGGAAGGGAGAATATGATCGAAACACGTGCATGCATGTATGAAATTCTCAAATTAAAAGAGGACTATATTTTATTTTAGACAAAAAAGGGGGATATGTGCTGATATCTTGCTTGTACAAATAAGATCAGAGGATGGAGCTTGCCACTAGCCAACCATAGAGGTCTGGAGGTCTGTACAGCCAGACAGGAAGTAAGAGGGCTGGGCATAGACAGGAAGTGAGAGGGCCGGGTAGAGACAGGATGTAAGCAGGAAGAAACAGGAACTCACTCTCTTATCTGCTGAGAAGCCAAGGAGGTAAAGTGTGGCTATGGCTTGCTCCTTCTTCTCTCTGATCTCTCAGCATTTTCCTCTATATCTGACTCTGGGTTTTATTAAATAATAAATAGACCAATTAAAAACTCCTTTTACAGAGGACAGAAGGGTGTGGCTCATTTAGGATGAAATGTTTTCCTGTTACCATCAAGACTGCACACAAGCAACCTTGTTGTACGCCACTGTTTTTGCAAGTGCTAATCCTAAAATCTGCAAGAAGCACCGTCAGAAGCCCTGTACCTCATGAGGCAGCAGGAACACTTCCTATGCCTCAGCCTTTCCTTCCAAGCCCCTGAGATTCAAGGCCAGGTCTTGGTGGCTCAGATTTTTAAGCTGCTACTAAAGAAAGGAGTGAGCCCTTTCTTCCTCCTTTCTCCTTCTTGTTGGCTGGATATCAGGTATCATGCTTAGCTTTAACTGTCAACTTGACACAGACTAGAAGGAAAACTCAATTGATGGGTTGCCTAGATTAGATTGGCAGAGGGCATGTCTGCGAGGGACTGTCTCAGCTGTTAATCTGTACAGGCAAGCTCAGCTAATAATTGATATAGGATTCCAGTGGGGGTATGGGGATACATCTTTTGAACAGGTGGGCCTGGGCTGTATAAGAGAGTTGTTGACCCTGCCAGCAAGGCAGCATTCCCTTATGGTTTCAGTTTCAAGTTCCAGCTTGAGTTCCTGCCCTGACTTTCCTCAGTGTTGTGTCCTGGAAACGGAAATAAATCCATTCTTCCTCTGAAGTAGCCATCTTAAACCACGGGGGAAAAAAAAAAAAAGTAACAAAACAAAACAGAAAAGATCCAGCTCAAGAGGTAGCCAGGCCAAATATAGTTTCTCTGAAGACTATCAGTCTGTCACTGAACCTAAAGTCACTAAAGAGAAGTTGGAAAGTACAAGTTCAACACTGTCATCCTCCATGGAAGGCCCTGCCCTGCCCTCTGGGAAAGCCCGGTAGCCCCTGATTCAGGCCCTCCCAGGAAAGGCTGACAATGAGCCCTCCCCGGACACAATAGCAGCTGTTGCCCACTCTGGGTAACTAAATGCCACTCTGCTTTGTAATAGCTGAGTGCCTGCCCACTTTCAACGGCACAAAGATGCCAGAAAAAATTGTGTTGGTGTTAAGCCAGGTAGAATTAACACTTTTTTGCCTTTATCCTGGGTTACTTTAATAACTGTCTTTGTAAGTCTTATTCTATGCTCTTTACAATTGCTAGCAAATAACTCGGTTGGCTCTGTGCACAGGAGGATTAAATACCAGAAGACTTCAGAAGCCTGCGTGGGAATAGTCAACATAGGCCAGATGGACCCTAAAACGCCTTTCGGACACGGAGCCCTGCTCAGTGAAAACACTGGCATACAAAGCCTTGCCTGACTCCCAGGAGCCCATACCCAGGCTTGCACCTCTCCTCACTCTTTGCCTCTTTTCTTTCCCAGAGGCCACCTCACAGATGCTCCCATTTCTGTGAGAAAGGGAATGTTCCCTACAGTGCCTTGTCTGCAGAAGACCCTGAAGGGCTGCAGCTCCACAAGGACCCCATATTCTTGGTTACTCCTGGCTAGAAGGCACACCTGGCACCCTGAACACTCGACTCTCTTCCGCTATCTACACTAACAGCAAGATTGGTTGGCCTGAAATGTCCCTAACCTGGATCCCCACTTTGCAAGTCAACAGGTCACCAGCCTCCTGCGTCATCAATCATTTTCTCCTCAAGACAGAAGAAGCTTGTCTCCTGCCCTGAGGAGATCTATCAAGACTCACATACCATCTTCTCTATCTTATTCACTTCTGAATAAATCTCTTGCCTCAACCACGTGTCCTGCATTGGCTGGGCCTCTTGGGGGTAGCTCAGGGGACTAGGTCTGAAGGTAAACAGTTTTTGCCATCTCACTGTCTGCTCTCCTCTTTTTCCCAAGCTGAGATAAGATTTTTTTTTTATTTCATTTTCTCATGCACTGGAGTTTAAAGGGCTCTTTTATTGCTTGGTTCTCTGCCAAAACCATGCCTTTCATAGTCTCATTTTGTAGCCCAAAGAGCTTATTCAAGATATTTTCCTAAGGAGGGAGAAAAATCCCTCCTTGAGAATTTAGTGTCACCTCTGAACAGTTTTTCCTTTTTTAAGGTAAAATTAAGGACAGAGTCCATTCAGGGACCTCGCTCCAAGAGGTAATAAACTCTGCAAATAGTGGCTTACCCTCACTGTCCTTTCTTGATTCCACTCGGGGATTCATATCTTGAGTTCCATTGCTCCAATTGCTCCCACACCCCCCCACCAATTTCCCCTCCAAACTTCATGTGTTCATTTTTTAAACCCAGCGAGTCCACTGGGTGCAGGGCCAGCCACTGGAGTATAGGTAGCCTGTCTGTCCTGCATCCAAAGGAAACTGTGATAAGCCTAACTCTCCCTCCTCCAACAGCAATCAACTACAGAACACTCCTCCTCTAGGGGTATAACTCCATGAGCCCTCCCCCACTGTGCTGAAATGTTGGCTGTCTTGATTATTACAGAAAACTAGGACACATCCGTAGGGACTTGGACTCCACCCTCTGGTGGTTCTTGGAAGATATGGGCCTCTCAAAGTCCCTCTCCTGTCTTAGTTTCTATTGCTGGGACAAAATACCGTGACCAAAAGGAAAAACACAATGGGGAGGAAGGGGTTTATTTGGCTTATACTTCCACACCACTGTTCATCACTAAAGGAAGTCAGGACAGGAACTCAAACACGGCAGAATCCTGGAGGCAGGAGCTGGTGCAGAGCTCATGAAGGAGTGCTGCTTGCTGGCTTGCTCCTCATGGCTTGCTTGGCCTGCTTTCTTGTAGAACCCAAGACCACCAGTCCACAATGGGCTGGTCTCTTTCTCATCAATCACTAAAAAAATGTCCAACAGGCCTGCCTACAGGCCAATCTTAAGGAGTCATTTCTTAATTGAGGCTCCCTCCTCTGATGACTCTAGCTTGTGTCAAGATGACATAAAACTAGCCAGCACATTTTCCATTCTGATCCAAACCCCTCTTCCAGCTATTTTCTCCTGGGCCCCACATAGCCTTTACTTCAGGAAGACAAACTGCATAGCTCCCGTTCTCCCAGCCCCACGTCTTTCTCATACGATGTCTCTTATTTCTTCCCTTCCCTTCCCTCCCCTAATTCCTTGATACCATACCCATCTCCATTCTAGGAGCCATCACACATGGAACTGAGTGTTGCCTAGTTATATAACAGACACAGGATCAAGCTGGTGGACATGAAGTGAACAGTCATGCAGGAAAAACAAAGATACACAAATCATTTCCAAAATATTTGGGCACAACTGAAACAAATAGGTTCCAGCTTTCTCTAAGATAGGAGCACAAGCAGCCAGAGCAGCTGGTCTACAAAGCTGTAACTCTGACTCTCCTTTGTTGGTCCAGGAACAAGTTACTTCATATCTCCAAGCCCTGGTGTCTTCAGCTGTGGAGTTGGGGGTAATAACACCTCCCCCTTCTGGGATTGGCTTCCTCACACCCAGTTGGAACAGTAGCTGGGATGACTTCTATAGCAACAGAATGTTAAAATGACCATTTCATCGTGTGGTATAGTAAGCACTATACTACACAGGAGACCCTAAAGCAGTTGCATAATTTCAAAGCACACAGGATTTTGAATCCCTGAGCTCCCAGCATAGAAATGAGCTGGGAGTGGAGGACTAAAGGGAGAATTTTGTAAGGTGCAGGGTACTTTAGACTCCTGCACCTTCCAGAAACCCCAAAAGCCTCACAGTCGATGGGGAGTCAATCCATGCAAGGTGAAAAATGAAACTCAAGTCAGTACCATCTTTGCAGGCACTGGATCAAAACTTCCAGAGTCTGACCTCATGGTTTATTCTTCTCACACATTTAAGCACAGTACAACTTTGTGAAAAGGTTTCCACGTGACAATTATTACAGCAAAGCTTTGGGCAGAGCTACATAGAAACTCCCTAGCAAAGTAGCAAAGCAGCTGTGACATGCAATGAAGTCTATCAGCTGGCAAACAGCCCAGGGCTAGGGCCTAGAACAAGGATCTGTGATAACATAAGGATGGATTCTATTGGCAGGGCATGCAGAGTGCATGGGCCCTCTTTCACAAGGATGGATTCTATTTGCTGAGAGACAAAGCTCAGGATATTGGGGGATTCAGGTGGAGGCTGTCTCCTAATGGAATAGCACAGGGTCACCAGGTTGCTTGACCACTCTCACTCTGGCATTCCAGGTGACCAGACATCATTCATTTCCTTCCACTGAAGAAAACTGAACAATCCTGCTTTCTCCAATACTTACTCTAAATTGTTCTTCATACATGTACTGTAGAGTCAGGGATTATTTTAGAAGAGGGAATAGAAAGATTCTAAGAGCCAGGTCATGAAGTTTGCTGTGAGGCTGTGTCTCCCAGGAATGTCAGAAGCTACACCCATAAAGTTTCATCAATATGACTGCCTAAACATGAGCTGAATAAGGATGATGCCAATAGAAAAGAGAAAGCCCATGAAGCCTCAACCCAACACAAAGAACTGTAGACAATTAAGGAATGATGAGACTATGACAAGTAGTCTTCCCCAGGGAAGAGCGCACCAATTGGTTACACAGTACCAAATGATCAATCCTGAAAACATACATACAACTAACATTATACAGACTGAGCAGGGTGCTTTTACGTATTTAAGAATATATATGTATATATAATATACATAAATGGGATGAATGAAAAAAAAGAGGCCATGAATTTGAAAGAGAGAAAGGAGGGTTATATAGGGGGAAGGGAGGAAATAGAAGAGGGAAATGATGTAATTATATTGTTATCGAAAATAAAGGAAATAATCTTTACAAGGAGAATGTTTTAGAACTATTTGTTACTACGGTCCAAACTTCATCCCAAGCATAGTCATGTGTTTAGGTATGTGTTGGTTACTTTCCTTGTTGCTGGGACCAAATACTTGACATAAAGCAACTTAATGGAGAAAGGTTTTGGCTGGTCTCATAGTTTGAGGGACACAGTCCCAACGATTCATTCCCCCCTCCTAGAGCTTCCACAGCCTTCTAAAACAGTGCCAATGACTAGGACCCAAGCATTCAAAAGGACTCATGAGGGGCATTTCATATTCAGCCCGCCACAAGGGCCTCCTCTTGATGTGTCCTTTAAGCTGGGGCCTGACTGGCGCCTGGGAAAGTCTGAGCACCTACGTCATTGAGCTGGGGCACCATTGAAGTATTTGTTTGGCATCTCACAAAATGCACTGCTGAAGCTCCAACCCAGCACAGGAAGGAGAACAGGCTGGTTTCCATGTCCTTTGGGTCAGAGTGACCTCAAAGCATTAATGTCCCCATGCTTTTAGGGTACACAGCCTCCTCACACTGGGACTCCAGAGAAGTCCAAATGCAGAAATCCAGACCCCAACACAGCTCTACAGGCTGTGGGAGGTGCTGTCCACAGATGATGGAAGTGGACCTGAGTTTGGCTCTCAACACCCATAGAACTCAGCTCCAGGACAGCTGACTCCCTCTACTGACTTCCATGAGAATCTACAGGCATGTGGCAGACAAACACACATACATACATTTAAATAAAAATAAACCTAAAAAGATATTCATACAAAATACTAATTTAAGAGGTTTTTTTTTCCTATCCTAGCTAAAGAACTATTAGCAATTGATGGCTTCTTAGATGAGGAGAGTCTTTTCTCTTCAGGTAAGTGTACATGCATGTGTGTAAGGGCTCAATGGATCATTAACAACAACAACAAGAAAAACATGAAGCTAAAAGGATGGTAGAGGGCCTGAGAAGAGTTGGAGAGGAAACTGGGT